AGAAATTTCAATACCTTTCTCAATAAGCAATGGAATCACAGACAGAAAATCAGCACAGATATAGAATGCTTAAACCACATTAACAATCAACTTCACAAACTTGAAATTTATTGATGTCACTAAACAATGGAATATACATTATTTTCAAGTATTCATTGTAAATTTAACATAATATACCACAATCAGAGCTATAGAATGTCTCTCAAAATGTAAAAGGATTCTGATTATGTAGAAAATGTTCTCTGATTATAATTCAATTGCATTAGAAGTGAATAACAAAAAAATACTGAAGTATGCCAAAATATCTAAAAATTAATGATGTACTTCTAAATAACTATTTGATCAAATAAATCAAAGAGGGAATAATAAAATATTTGAACTAAATAAACATTAAAAAACATAATGTTATACTCTGAATTTTTGTGTCCTCCCAAAATTTCTATGCTGAAATCTTTACCCTAAGGTGATGATATTAGGAGTTGGATGTGATTAAGTCCTGGGAATTGAACCCTTGTAAATGAAATTAGTAACTTTTAAAAAGAGGACAAAGAGATATACTTTGCCCTTATACCATATGAGAAAATAGCAAAAAGATTATAAAGGGAACATTGTCTACAACATTTGCCAATACATCTGACAATTAAATGAAGTTGATAAAGTTTTTAAAAGACAAAAACTAATAGTCTCACTCAAGAAAAAATACTTAACCAGAATCACTTTATATCTAATAAAAATTAAAATATATTTTAAAAACTTCCCACAAAGAAAGCTCCAGGCTCAGATGACTTCCTTGGTGAATTCTACCAATCCTCAAAGAACAAAATTATAGCAATTTTATACAAACTCTTCAAAAAACTAGAACTGGAGAAACAGCTCATTCTATGTAATCATCATTATCCTGATACCAAATCCAGAAATACTCCTTAGAAGAAAAGATAACTACAGTTCCAACATCTCACAAACCTAGATGCAAAACTCCTTAAATGAAATTTTGGTAACTTGAATCCAATATAATACCTCAAGACCAAGTAGAGTTTAATCTGAGAATGCAAAGCTGGTTCAACATTTGAAACTCCATCAATAATATAATCACTACAGCAACAAACTAAAGAATAAAAAACACATGATCATCTGAATAAATGCAGAGAAGGCATCTGACCAAATTCAATAACCATTTCTGATAAAACAAACAAACAACTTTCAGCAAAGAGGGAATCAAAGGGAACTTCCTTAACTTGATAAAAGGCACCTATAAAAAACCTACAGTTAAAATCATAAACATTTGTGAAAGACTGAGTGCATGCCCTCGAAGATCAGAAAGAAGACAATTAGGATTCTCACCACATCTATTCAACACTCTATTGGGTGTTCTGCCTGGTGGACTAACTCAAAAATAAATACATGACATGCAGGTTGGAACGGAGTAAACAAAGCTCTCCATATTCTCAGATAATCTAATTAGTTATCTATATGCAGAAATCCAAAATCTATCAATCAACTTGAGCTGTCTTTCCAAGGCTTCAGAGGGCAGACACCACGAGAAGCACAATCAGGATATGTTTGATGAAACAAACTGGTAAAGCCACTCCCAATTGTTTCAGCTAGCACACTAAAGCCAAAATCTCAAGTGTTTTCAGTTTTTCACCTATATTAATTTTTGCATGAACCAACAATTATCCAGTTCTTTTTCTCCAGAACCCTTGGTATCTACTCTCTCACATTTTTCTTCAGGGACATGTCAATATAAATTTGTCAGATCTTGCAAATTCTTTTGGCTTATGAACTACCACCTTCCAGAGATACTCTTACACCTTCTATTGTTGTCTATGAGCATGAGATCTGATGAAAGTAAAGCAGGGGTCACAAAACTATGACCCATAGGCCAAATCCTACCTAATTTTGTACAGTTTACAAATAAGAATGTTTTTTTAACTTTTAAATAATTGAAAAAATCAGGAGAAAAGTAATATTGTAATACATGAAAGCTATATGAAATTCAAAGTTCAGTGTTCATGAAGTTTTATTGGAACACAGTCATGCTCATTCATTTATATACCATGTTGACTTCCGCAGTACAAGGGCAGAATTGAGTAGCTGACACAGAGATCATACAGCTCACAAAATCTAAAACATTTACTATCTAGCCATTACAGAGAAAGTGTGCTAAATCTTAAGATAAAGCTGGAAGTGAACAGGGATCATAGTATAAGGCATGCAACTCAAATGAGATCACTGTAGGGTCTTTAAGCAAGAGAGGTGAGAAGGCTCACTTCACCAGACAGATGAGGATCACCCGCTTCAGTGAACAACAAATATGTTAGAGGCACTTGGAGCTTTACAACTGTCAGATTCATCTTTGTTCATGCAATATTACCATCTCAAATCTTAGGCTCACCCCTTTCCAACTAATGTCCTATTATAAAATACTATTTGCATTTTTAATTCTACAACAGTTAATGAATAATTAATTTGGGGCATCATTTTCAGTTGTGAACTGGTCAACTGGTAAGAAATCACTAATTAAGCAACAGAGAACAATGAGGCTCTGAGATTAGAAAAGCATAAAGTTGCCATCTTCTTCAGGACAGGAGGGACAAATGCGTGAGGATCTATCATTAGTGCCCATAAACAGTGCTGTCAGCTGGAGCTGAGGCCACAGAGGGAGAAGCTGTTTCTCAGGAGCAGGAAGTCACAGTTCTGAAGCATTGCTCCAAGCAGGGCCAGGAGGAAGATATACCACAACTCTTCTCCTCCATTTAACCATCCACATCTGCTGAACATATAGAAAAGCCAGAAGGCAAAGAAGCTTATGAAATATGGTTCTTGGTAAGACAGATAAGAGCTGGGGATGAGTAGGAATTAGATCTGAGAGCACTTATATGAGGGACTGATTCAGAATATGAATATGAAGAAATATTGGAAAATGTGAAAATAAAAGAAAAAGTACAAGAGAAAAGAAAGTAGATATTGAATCAAAATGATCTAATATAAAATTAACGAAGTACTAGAGAGAAAAGAGAAAATAGGAATTAAAAAATTATCAAAGATGTAATGTAGTAAAATTTCTCAGGTCAGAAGTTAATTAGTACCCACATAGAAAGGGCTTCACTATAACCAGAGCATTGGATGACGAAAGACCTGGTGCAAGGATAAAAAGATCTTGAATGTTTTCATAAAGAAACAAGCAAGCCACATACAAGTGAATGACAATAAGAATGGCCTTACATTTCTAAAGAAAAGTTAAAAGACAATGAAGGAGACTTAAAATTACCAGGTGTGTGTGTATATATATATATATATATTTTTTTTTTAAATAAAGTTAAACAAATAAATGTTTTAAAGAATTAAACACATTTTTCAATCATACAACTCCCACAGGACTTCCTTCCCATTACTCTTTCTCAATAAATTACAGGAGCATATATTCTACCAAAATGAATGAGAAAATAATAAAAGAGAAATACACATATTCCAATTGAAACAAGATTGAATATTCTCAAACCACAGCTGCACAGCAATTCTAATATAGATTGGTTAAAAGGAAAAGTTTTCCAGAATGTCTCCAAGGCAGGAAAAAGGAATTTCTAGAACATGTACAAAAATAGAGCCATTTTAAATTTTATTGAAGAATTTGGGGAGAAATTCAATATAATTATACATTTAAGAAAAAAATAAAAGTTACAAAACTTAGGCAATTTTATCTTAGTTCATTATTTGGCTCACCAGGAAATAAAACACAATTCAAATATGGTATATAATTACAAAGGAATAACAGAAGAGGTGGAATGTACCTCTGATGAGCTCTTAAAATGTTAACTTCTACTTCAATGATAGGAATAACTTAAGTAATAATTTGTACTTCAGTAGGATTTCCTATTATTGCTTAAATCAATAGATAATGTCTACAGTTAAAAGGGCAAGAAACTCCAGGGGCATAGTTTTTAGCAATATAGAGTGAAATAATGAACACACTATTCCTACACCTAGGAACAAGGATGATACTTGCAGACATAATCTGGAGAGAAACAGAGGAGATACAATAATACTCACTGTGTACTATCTACATAAAGTTCAAAAAGAGGTAAAAGCAACCCAGGGCAATAGGTGTCAGGATCGTGGTTTCCTTCGCCATGCATAGTAATTGAGAGGAGCAATGATTCACAGGTGTTGACGATATTCTATTTCTTGATTTTTGTGGTGTTTATACCTATATATTACCTTGGTAAAAATTGTGCTGTTCATTTATGACTTGTGCGATTTTCTCTATACACTGTATTTTGTACATCAAAACCGTTTTATTTGAGAAGAAATGAATACGGAGTTATATGATAGTAGGAGAAATTCTTTAAAGCTCTGACAAAGAGGATTTAAGGAGTATACATTATGCAGGCAACCGATTTATTTGTTTTCCAGTATTAGTCTTGTAATACAATTTGTATTTTTAATGTGTATGTGTGTTACTTGATGAAAATTAAAAAATTAAAAAGACAAAACAGAGTACAATGATTCAACATGTTTGTATCTTTTAAAAGACCATTCAGAACAGTTCTAAAATGATATATAAATAAGAACAGTGCAGAAAATAATATAAATTGATTATGGATACACACATTTGTAAAAATACCACAAAGTGGCAAGCACAATTCATGACTTTCGCTATTTCTTGAATGCAGAGGAAACATGCAGGAGGCTTCAACTTTCCTCTGATGTTTTATTTCTTTAAAAATCTGAAGCAAATGGCAAAATAAAACATTAGAGGTGTCCATCAGGACTACTGGTGAGTGGGTATACTAATAATATTTGTTCATATAATACTCTTTCCATTTGAAATTTATAAAATTTCCAACATTCTAATAATTCTGTTCCCCCAAAATAATGATGAATATACATATACAGAAAAAAAAATCAAGTTGTTATATACTATTTAATCCCTTAAATTTTATAAAATATAATGTAAGATTTTAAAAGTAATAATGTAAAGAAGGATAAAAATTACATACCACAGCAAGACCAGCATCATAGTTTTTGTTGCATATTGTGCCAGGAAATGCTGCCCCCATATATTTAGGATGTTTCCTGTAACTACATCATTATAGCATTGTCTTTTTATTAACATCGTTATTCAGAGCAATTTAAAAGTTTATTAAATTAAATCTCCTTTTCATAAAATTTTAAAATGACTTTGCAAACATATATGATATCTAATATATTACACAAAATGCTCAAACTATTAAAAGGTTTTATTTGTTTGTTTGTTTATTATTTATTTATTTATTTATATATTCTGAGACAGAGTCTTGCTTTGTTGCCCTGCCTAGAGTGCTATGGCGTCAGCCTAGCTCACAGCAACCTCAAACCCCTGGGCTCCAGTGATCCTCCTGCCTCAGCCTCCCCAGTAGCTGGGACTATAGGTTTGTGCCACCACACTTGGCCAATTTTTTCTACTTTTAGTAGAGACAGGGTCTCACTTTTGCTCAGGCTGGAATCAAACTCCTGAGCTCAAGTGATGTCCCCCCTCAATCTTCCCCAGTTCTAGGATTACTGATGTGAGCCACCATACGCCCCCAGTTTATTTTAATACCAACGTTTTGTCCTGGGCTAACTCCTAGATTGGATATAATTTTATTATGTCAAAATCAATTTAGTTTGGTCATTAAAAGCTAAACAGAAAATAATTTTTAATTTGTAAAAGAGGCAAAATTGCCCTAAAGGTAAGCACTTTTTAAATTAAATATTATCAAAATATTGCCAAATCATCTTAGTAAAAAAATAGACATGACATGAATAACATATAATGGATAACTGTAATTGAACGGTGCCAATTTTTACAGCAGTAAAAAGCTAATGGTTATAAGTATTCTGTAGTAAAGTCAATATCATAAAAGTTGAAATCCAGATTTTTTCCAATAATAATGTACTCCAAAGTATACTGATATAAAACTACACAATAATTATACTCCAAAGTATACTGATATAAAACTAATTATTGTCACTTTTATTATATTCCCAAGTACACTATCATCTCCATGTCAAAATCTACATTTTTAAAACATTTTCAAAGAAGCCTAGCAAGAGTTGAAGAACATAATAAATGCATTAAATTGCCAATTTAATGGAATTACACATAATGCATCTCTTTAGTAATGTATAATATTGTGCTTACATAAGTAAGTATGCTATGTCATGGGGCCGTAGGATGAGATAGTCCCGTTTCCAGACCAAAAATCTTTGTAATATGTCATTAGCATCCCCGATGGTGGAAATTTGGTTTTTATCTGACCACAATTCCAAGGAAGACAGTATAACAGTCAACTTGAACTGGGTAAACATCTAAAAATAAGATTTATGGTATATTTTTCAAGTAATACAAATCATTACATTAAAACAGTACATACAAAATAAATAAATAAAACAGTATATAAAAATAAATAAAAGGTTCATATGAGTATTTTGTGTATTAAACTAATAAACTATTTGTCATTAATTTGCCATGATAGAATGAAAGTTATTTTGAATTAATTTTCATTAAATTAGAAATAGCAAAAAGTAAAGAACTTACAGTGTTGACAAGCCCAAAAATCTGGATAATTTTCTGAGTTACAGCCATCATTTCAGATCCCATATAATCATACTGGAAAAAAATTATTTTTTATGATTTTTAAAATATGCAAATTATAGGAATTTTTAAATGGTGAATATACCTTGGTGATACCAAGCAGAAAAAGCACAGGGTTTGTCAAACAATTTAAATCATACTAATATAAAATGATAATTTTTATAGTAAAACAAACAACAAAAGGTAAAAAGCACACTTGGACACTCATAATAAATTCTTACGTGTTATATATTTTAAAGACACTCTCAAGCAGAAAAAAAATGAAATCTTTAAGAGGTATTAAAATAGCTATACAGATGTATCTCTATTATAAAAGTATTTCTTGAGCTAGAAATTTTTTACAATACAGAGAGAATTAATGAAAGATCTCCCATTGCACACTTGGTAAATAAATGACAACAAATAAATAAACAAAAAATAATTGAAATACACAGATATAACTATAGGAATAAAGAAATAAATCACCATGATTTTTAGTGAAAATTATGTGAAATGAATGAGTCAAAAAGTTTGAAAAGTATAAAATGGGATAACGTATGAGAACAGGAGAAAGAAAATGCTGTCCCTTAAATTTGGCAAGTTATTGAAAAGATATGGACTCATGTTTGGGCCTAATAAATATATTTGATTTTAGAATTATATTTGGAAAATGCTTAATACCTCTGTGAAATTACCAATTTTACAAATTGAAAATAAGGAAGCCTACAAAATCTTAGAAATTGTTATGACTTGCTCACTCACAATTACAATATAGGATGAGTGCTTATAGGTGCTGATTTTAAAAACTAATGTAAAATTAATGATGTATTTCTATTGACTGAATTAAAAATTAAATATATTTTAAAGAAATGTTTCCTTTTTCACTAAAAAATACTGTATCTGGTAGGTGTTAGATATGTGAAATATATTCTTCTGCAAGATACAAATAAAAAATAGTCATTTAGGACAATCTCTTTGTGAATACCCAAGATAATCAAATAATAGAAACGTAATTTCTTATACCAAATGTCATAACACCTTGGATGGTATTGCTAACTCCAAAGGTTTATATTATAAAGACAAATTTGTCAACATATAAGAAAGAGATAACAATGCTTCATTATTAGGAACGAATACATATCATCGAAATATGACAAGCCAAACTGACACAATTGAAAAAACTTAAGAAACTCACAATAATAGTTTTAACACATTAACCCAATTCTTTCAGTAACTGATAGAACCTGAGAACAAATTTAGCAACATATAAACCCTGAAGAACATTGCTAAACTATTTGTTTAATCTCATTAACATGTATAGAGCTCTGCAGAAGGTAATATACAATACAGGTATACCTCATTTTATTGCGCTTTGCTTTATTGCCCTTTGCAGACATTGCATTTTCTACAAATGGAAGTTTTCTGGCAACTGTGTTGTTGAGCAAGTCTATGGGTGCCACTTTCCCAGCATAACTCACTCTGTGCCTCTGTGTCACAATTTTTTAACAATAATATTTTTAAATTAAGGTATGTACATTGTTTTCTAAGACACAATGCTACTGAACACTTAGATGACATATATTGTAAACATACATTTTTTTTTGCATTGGGAAAGCAAAAACTTTGTGTGGCTTTATTGAGATTATGTGCTTTATTGTGATGGTCTGAAACTTAACCTGCAATATCTCTAACATATGTCTACAACAAGGCAAAATCTAATAAATCTTTTCAAATGTGTACAAAATATTTACAAAATTGACCATATGCTAGGATGCAAAGGAAATCAAATATTAATACATTTCAATACATATACACAATTCAGAGTACTTTTTTTTTTTTACCAGTGTGGAGTAAATGAACAACAAAAATATATTAAGGATTCTCATTTTTTTTAAATCTAAGCAGTACAATTTTAAATTAATCAAGAGTTAAATACACAAACACATAGAAAATATTTTTTTAAATCTATTTTTTAATTTTTTTTGTTTGAGACAGAGTCTCACTTTGTTGCCCAGGCTAGAGTGAGTTCCGTGGCGTCAGCCTAGCTCACAGCAACCTCAAACTCCTGGGCTCAAGCGATCCTCCTGCCTCAGCCTCCCAAGTAGCTGGTACTACAGGCATGCACCACTATGCTCGGCTCATTTTTTTCTATATATATTAGTTGGCCAATTAATTTCTTTCTATTTATAGTAGAGACGGGGTCTCGCTCTTGCTCAGGCTGGTTTCGAACTCCTGACCTCGAGCAATCCGCCCGCCTCGGCCTCCCAGAGTGCTGGGATGACAGGCGTGAGCCACTGCGCCCGGCCTTTAAATTTACTTTTAATGAAAATAAGACAAAGTGAGATTTGTCTTATAAAGCTACTTTATTTCTGGCCACTGCCACAGACTGCTACCTGGTTGGATCCCAGTCCTTCCTGGAGTCTGTGTGGAGGCACTGCACCAGACAATGGGCAAGTGCAGACTGGGCAGAGCTCTCAGGGGCGTGGTACCAGGTTGGTACCAGGCTGGGGAGGGAGAGGACTAGCTAGAGGCGCCCTTGCATGTCCTGTGACTGGAAGCCAAGCACCCCTCCCCTGCAGCATGATGGGATCTCAGCAAGGGAACTGACTGGGGAGCAGCAGGCTCTTGACCTGGGGGGACTTTGGGCAGCTGCTCTGGCAGGTCATGGGTGAGGTGGGAAGAATTCCCACCTCCCACTCCAGTGGTCCTTGGACCACTGGAACGGACCCCCGCCCACATCACTGGGCATCCACGCTGGCCCCAGTCTGGAGTCTGCAGAACTGTTGCGGTAACCCGTACAGTTTGTGTTACAGCTCTTGACCAGGAAAGAACCCAGGGGCACACGAAGAGTCGGAGAGCAGCCTTTATTCCTCTGACAGGCTCAGCACACCTAGCGTTACAGCCCTCTGCCTGTCTTCCGATCTTCTGACTCTTCTGTCCCCCTTCCTTGGTCTCCTCCTGCTTTTATACCCTTGGTAGGGCTCAAAAAGCATCCAATCAACTACAAGCTTTAACATCCAATCAACATAAAGCTTTAACATCCAATCAACAACAGGCTTTGACATCCAATCAAAAACAGTGGGTTTCAAAAATTACCCAGTCAGGATCACCCAAGCAGTGTGATCATGCCGGAAACAGGCAGCCACACGTGGGCCTGGGGGCATTCTGGCACACAGGCCCATGACTCTCTGCCATTGGGGCTGGCCCCAGCAGTGTGCCCTCCAACTAGCCACGCCAACGCTGGCCCTGGCCCGCGGAGATGCGGAGTGACGGGGAGGCGGCAAGTGGCCGCGTCCCGGCGCCTGACATTTTCCGTGTCAGAACAGCCTGCCACATGCTTGGTTGGCCGTGACTTCGCCATCCAGGCCCCAACTGCATCCAGCCGGCTCAGCCCTGAGCACACCCTCCATGTCAGATCAGCACACCCGACCCACACAGCCCCGCTTCAGGCTCCTTCCGAATCCTGGCTCTGAAGTTCTCACCCCAGAGCCTGAGGCTTTGCCTCTGCGCTCCCAGAGCTCCTGCCAGGCCCAGGGGACACCATCCTCAAGACTCCAGAGCTGCACCTGGACCACAAGACTCCAGCCCAGAGCCTCCACCACCCCTGCGGGGCCAGAGGAACTGCTCCAAAGTCCAGGGCCCCACCAGGGACACCCCAACCTCGAGCCACCAGTACACCATGACCTAGTTCAAGCAAATGCCCACAGCCTGGGAGCCCACGGCCACTGTGTAGATACCATCAACAGCTGCTACTGTTCACCTCTGTGGGGAGACACTGGGTAGAGAAACACTCACAACAGCAGCCTCAGTGAAGAGGGTCTTGCCTGGCTCCCAAATTGAACATCCTACAACTATCTGGTAGACAACACTATACCCAGCACAGAGAGTATTCAGCACAGGCTTGAGCAGAGGCAATCATAGGCTAACAGAGAAAACGAGAACAGCTGGTTACATGCTTTATGCCCAGTCCTCTGCCACGCCCACATTCCAAGGCAGAGGAGAAGGGAAGGCAGGAAGGGAGGGAGCAGGAAGGGAGGGAGCAGGGAGGGAGCAGGGAGGGAGCAAGGAAGGAGAGAGGAGATGAGAGGGAAGAAACTGAGGAAAGGGAAGGAAGAAAAGTAGGAAAGAGGGGAGAAGGAGCATGGGAAGGAGGAGGGGGGAGAAGGCAGGAAGGCAAGAAGGAAAGTTGTACTTACCAAAGCTTTCTCCACTATAATGTGCACTTCTAGATATTGGGGTAATAGTTTTGAAAAAAATTGTTTCTGGAAAAACAACAACAAGGGATTTACCAAATGTATCAGATTTGTTAAGAGCAAAAGGTAACATGCAAATAAGGCAAGAAAATGCACATAAAACACGAGGACTTAAATATAAAAATTGCAAAGTAGAAAATTTCACTGGGCGAAACATATTCCAGGCTTAGAAGTTTTCCAATGAGGCTGCTAAAATAATGTAGGAGTCTAAAGTGTTCTCTGTTAGCATCAAATGAGAAAGAGAATGTAAAGACACACAGCTGTTGTCTTCCTCAGAAGACAAGTCTGCTCCACCAATGGACACTTGAGAATTCCTCACCGAATGTCTTCTCAAAGACTCTGGTAACACCAACTTTGGCATGCTGGAAATCATGCATTTATTCAGTACAAAATGTAGGACATGTTTGATAACTCACAGGAATTCAGTAAATAGTGTGATTTGCCTATTAATCACATGGGTGCACAGGGAAGAACAGAATGCAAAATAGCAGAAATAATTCGAAAGCTCCAGAGCATAGGCCTTGTACCCCATTTGATGTGGTACAAAAATTCTTGACTGTGCCAAAACAGGTACTTACAAATCATCAAGTTATTACCTCATCACTGAGCACTTTACTGGTGATCTTTACATGAGCTATAGTTCTATCATACTGTACTGATCACCAAATATAAGAGTAAAGAGAGTGCAAAGATTGACTTTGTCATGGAATAGCCTGGTTTAAGAAAATATTTTCTGCAGTGGCTATACCATTTTCATTTCCACCAGCAATGCATGAAAGATCCAGTTTTTCTACATTTTTACTGGCATTTGATATAATATTTAAAAAAATGTCAGCTGTTCTAATAAATATGTAATAATATATGATAATGGTCTTAATTTACATTTTTCTAAAGGTTAGTTATGATGTACATATTTTCATATGTTTTTAACTCTGGTTTTGCTTTGTTTTTTCCATGTCTATATCCTCTTCTGTAAAATGCCTATTAAGATTTTGCCTATTTTTTAATTGTTTTGTTTTTTTAATGTTGACTTTTGAGAGTTATTTATAGAGTCCAGATATTAGTCCTCAGCCATATTCTCCCTGTCAGTACCTTGTCTTTTCATTATTGTTACCAGGTCTTTTGCACACCAAAACACTTTAATTTTACAAGAGTACAATTCATCTTTTTTTTTCTTTTCTGAATAATGCTTTTGGTGTTATATCTAAGAATTTTATGCCAAACCCTAGGTCCTAAATCATTGTCTATGTTTATTTTAAAACTCTTAGAGTATAAACAGTTGATATTTAAATATTTTGAGTTCATTTTTGTGCATGGTATGAGATTCAAGTTGAAGCTCATCTTATTTCCACAGTATATTCAAGTGTCCCAGTGTCACTTATTTAAAAGACTATCCTTTTTTCATTGAATTGCTTTCATACCATTGAAAATAATCACTTGGGTTTATCTGTGTGGGCCTTTTCTGAGTTCTCCACTTAGACCCATTGATGAATGTGTGTGTCCATCCCTTTATCAATACCACACAGTCTTGAATATTATATATAGTGCATCCTAAAATCCAGTAGAGCAATCAGTCCTACTTCAGTATGCTTTTCAAAATTATTTTAGCTATTTTATTTTCTCAGAAAAGTTGTAAGAATAGCACAGAGTTTCCATATACCTATACCCAATTTTCCCTATTATTAGCATCTTACATTAGATTGGTGTATTTGTCATAATTAAGTAACCAGCTTTTATATTGATACATAATAATTATACATATTTCTAGGGTAAAATATAATGTTTTGACACATGTATACATTGTGAAATGATCAAATGATAGTTATTAGCATATCCATCACCTTACATATTTATCATTTTGTTGTTGTGAGAACATTCAACATTTTCTCTAGCTACTTAAAATATGCAATGCATTATTGTTAGCTGAAGTCACAATATTGTGCAATATCATGTCAGAATTTACTCTTGCTATCCACCTGTAACATTATCATTACACAGTGAACTTATCTGTCTCCTTGAACTGTTTTTGCCTTGAAAGAAAACAGTATTTTCTCTAAGTATACCTATTCCTGCTCTCTTTTGGTTTCCCTTTGCAGTTTATATGTGTTCTTACAGGTGAACTGAGTCTTTGTAGACAGTATAATGTTGGGTCTTTAAAAAATAAAATTCATTCACTCTATGTATTTTAAGTGGAAAATATAATTCACTTAGATTCAAGGTAATCATTGATAGGTAAGGAGTTTGTACCGCTGTATTGTTATTTGTTTTCTTGCCATTTTGTAGAATTTTTTTTTTAATTTTTTCATTTCTTATGATCTTTTGAAGGTTAAGTGATTTTTCTCTATCAGTATGTTTTGATTTCTTGCTTTCTACTTTTAGTGAATCAGTTAAAGGTTTCTGCTCTTTGGTTTTCTAGGGACTTACAAATAACCATCTTATAGTTGTAATAGTTTATTTTAAACAGATACCAGACTAATTTTGATCACAAAATAAGGTAAAAAATCCACTACTCTTTAATGCCATTACTCCCCCATATTTTACATTTTGGATGTCAGAATTTACAACTTTTTAAATTGCATATCCCTTACAGATTATTGTAATTGTTTTTACTTTTATTTGTTTTGCCTTTTAACCTTCCTACTAAGGATGTAAGTGGTTTATGTCTCACAATTACTATGTTAGAGTATTCTAAATTTGTCTGTATTCTTACTTTTAACTGTGAGTTTTATATCTTCAGATGTTTTCACGGTACACTTTAGCATCATTTTCTTTCAGCTGAAGAACTCCTTTTAGCGTATTTTACAATGCAGGTTTGGTTGCAATTAATTACCTCAGCTTTTGCTTGCCTGGGACTTTCTTTATCTCTATTTCATTTCTAAAGAATAACTTTGCTGGGTGCACTATTCTAGACAGGTAGTTTTCTTCTTTCAGCACTTTGAGTATATCAGCCATCTCTCTCTTGGCCTATATGGCTTCTGAAAAATCTACTGCCAGGCATAGTGGAATTCTCTTATGTGTTACTTGATTCTTTTATCTTGCTGCTATCAGGATCCTCAGTTTGTATTGACCTTTTAGAGTTTGATTATGGTATGTCTTGGGATTGCTTTATTTGGTTTGAATCTGATTAGTGAGCTTTGACCTTCCTGTACCTGGAAATATGTATCTTTTTCTGGGTTTGGAAACTTTGCTCTTATTACTTCTTTCAATAAGCTCTCTATCCCTTTTTCATTGCCTAGTCTTTCTTGAATGCAAACAATATGTATATTTTTTCTATTGATGGTGTTCCACAGATCCCATAAGTTTTCCTTGTTTATTCTCATTTTTCTTTTTTTCTCCTCTGTGTAATTTCCAATAGCCTATCATTGAGATCACTGATTCTTCCTTCTGCTTACTCAATTCTGCTGTTGATGCCCTATATTGCCTTTTCCACTTTATTTATTGTACTTTCAGCTCCAGGATTTTTGATTTTTTTAAATTTTAATTTCTCTGTTAATTTTTTCCAACAATTTTTTAAATTTTTCCTCTGCCTTTTTAAAATTTTTCTGAGTTTTCTTAAAACAGCTATTTTGAATTCTTTGTCTGCCAGATTGCTTGTCTTCATGTCATTGGATCAGTTGCTGGCACCTTGTTTTATCACTTTAGTAAGGCCATATTTCCTATGCTAGTCTTATTCCTTATAGACATTTATGTCTGTCTATACATTGGCCAATTAAGTATTTATTATAGTCTTTGAACTCTGGGTTTGGTTGTGACTTTTCTTTCAGTGGGCTTATGTAGAAATTCCGAGTGGACTGACTGTTGTGATATATTTCAGCACTAGAGGGTGCCATAAGTCCAGGATAAGTACACACCTAATGATGTGTAAAGTCTAAACTGAATGGGCACATGGGAGATCCACAAGGAGCAGCCAGGCCTTATAAATGAGCGTCAGCTGGGTTCTCAAGTTCAGAGGATCTATAAAGTGTGCTTCTTGCAGTGTGGTGCCTATAAATAGCCTCTTTGCTGTGACACCTCCTCCAGCAGTAATGAGCCACTTCCTAGTTTCATGCACTGACTGTATTAGCCCTTTCTGTCTCTATCTGGCCTCAGTTGGTTAAGCCCCACCGATGCTTGTGGTGTTCACTGTGGGACAATTCAGGGGCAAGTCACCTGTAGAGAGACCCAGAATGGTATGGAAGCTGAATGCCCATCTCCAGCTTACTCATTTCAGTGTAGTGTCCAAGGGTACTTTCTACATGTGTACGACGGGGGAAGGGACATTGTGGTCACAGATAACTGATAACCCTTACTGCCTACTGGTAGTTTTACTTATTTCTGCAGTCCTAAGGGGCTTATGACTTGCATGTTCAGGTTACTTTAGCTCTTGTGAAGGTAGTTTTATGCATAAATAGCTATTCAAACAGATGTTTTAGTGAGGGTAAATTGCTGAAGAGACCTACTCTGCTGTCTTGATCTACCTCCTCTATATTTTAGCTATTTTATTTCCTTTGACTTTCCATATAGCTTCCGGAACAATGTTATATATAGCTACAAAATTTCTTGCTGGGATTTTGTAGGAGTTATGTGTAAGCGATATATCAATTTTAAAACTATGAAATGTTTCTTATGCTGAGTTTCCCAATCCATGAACATGTTATCTGTCTCTGTTTATATCTTATTTGATTTATTGCATCAGTATTTTTAGTTTTCAATATGTAAAGCCTGAACATGTTTTGCTAGATATTTACATTTTTCATTTTTCAGTGCTTATAAATATTTTAATTTTTATTTACAGTTTCTACATATTCATTGCTAGTTTATTGAAGTACAGTGGATTTTAGTATGTTGATCTAGTATTTTGTGACTTTACTGATTTCACTTATTAGTTCTAGAACATTTTTTATAATCTTTGTGATTTTTACAGAGACAATTACATCATCTACAAAGAGGGGCATTTTTATATATTCCTTTCTGATCCATGTACTTTTAATTTCCTTGTATTTCCTTAATGTCTTGCCTAAGAATCCAGT